AACGAGGATGAAGGCCTCTCAAATACCCACATATGTACGTACTCGAGTGTACCTAAAGGAATAAAATATCGTTTTTTTTTTGCTCTATCTCATAATCATAATGATAAACGATAAATATATATGTATGTTATGTCACTGTAGTTCAGCCAGATATATTATATTCACTTTGCAGCACTCTAACGTAGTGAATAAACCAACTTAACCAGCAGCGAACATTTCCTTTGGGAGGGCGTAAAAAAAACTCTCTTTTTGGTAATTTGTTTTTTTTTTTTTTGTTGTTTTGTTTTCCTTCAATTTTATTTCATTTTTTTGTTATCGTTTTGTCATATTTTTATTTTGTATACCATTGCTTGCCGGCTTTTTGGTTTTTCTTTTTTTGTTTCATTTGTTTTTTGTTTTTGTTGGATTTTGTTTGTTTGTTTATGAAAGAGCAAAAGAGCGTTTGAACAAAAACTAAGACGTACAATAAAATACAAATGGAATAATAATTATACATACATTCATATAATTTATACGTACGAGTACGAGTATAGTAAAATTTACGTTCCTTCTTCCTTGCTTACGATTTCGATATCGATATCGATTTCGATTTCGATTTCGATTTGGTTTTTGCCATTTATAAGTTATATAATAATATGCATCTAAATTTGTGTGTCACCTCGGCATCCTTCGCATTGTGTATGTGTGTATGTGTGTGTGTGTGTGTGTGTGGGCTGTATCTATGGCATGTGACTATCCACAGACCATATCCATGACATCCTTAGACATTTCATGTGTAAATACGATGAGTGAGAACTGTAGCTGTTGCTCCAGTTTGGGGTTTTGAATGTGATTTTGATTGGTGATTGCTGATTGTTGATTGCTGATGTAGGAGGAGGAGGAGGAGGAGGAGGTGATGTACAAATAAGTCTCAAGTCCTACTCGATGGCTATGAAGCATAAGTATAGATACGTAAAGTAGGATAAGTACACGGATATGCGGTATGCGGTTAACTAATTGGGTAAGTATAATAAATCTGTGCTGGCCTCAGATCTGCACAAAAGTATATTGTATATGTACGTTACGATGCGATACGCTATAGACAATCATAATTAGCATACACAATAAAATAGACAATAAATCATTTAGAGTTGAAGTTTAGTTCTGTTTTGGGTTTTTCATCGTTTTTTTTTTTTTGGTTTTTGTCTTTTTTGTGGCTGTTTCTGTTGCATACACACGTACATATGTATGTTCTATATATGTGTATAACGGGTACCAATTTAAATATTTTGTTTTCCTTCTGGGTTTGGTTTTGTTCGTTAGTTTAAGTTAAATCTATATATTCTTTGGGCGCGTTCCGTTGACTGGCGGCTACGTATATTTTTAATTGTATTCCTGTTTCTTATTTTCTCAACTTTGATGCTCAAATTCGATGCAAGTTGTTCAACATTTTTATATTCTGTTCATTGTAAGCAGCTCTATTGCTTGCGAGGAGTGCATTTACCATTTACTGCTTGCACTGCTTGTGCGCACTGCACAGGCAGTGCGCTGCTTGGACTGCTTGGCTACAGTTTACCGTGTGGTTTTGCCTTTGGCGGGCATTTATTTCTCTTTTTGAATTTTGTATTTTCGCTTTGCTTTTGGCCTGTCCGCTTGCTCTTGATTTGATCTGTGTGTTTCCCCGCAGCTAACGCATTTCTTATCGACTAAATTAAACGTTTTTACTTTCGCTAATCTGCATGCAAAATGAACAATATACATACATACATACATACTTTCGCATTCTGCTCCATTTAGCTTAGACTTTTAGATTGTATCGATGACATCGCCTTACGTGACTAGATTTTAGTGTATATCAATACAAATGTTGGAAGTTGATGGTTTGCCTGGGCTCGGGAGGCGTTGGTAATTGTGATGTTTTTCTGTATCTGATATTCTTTGACATTTTGTCGCTTCTCCAACTCTCGGACTTTGTGTGTTTTGCCTGGGAGCTTATGTATTTCTCTGGCCATATTAGTAGACATTTACATGGGTAAGTATGTATGTATATATAATATGTATGTGTATATTTTCATATAGATTCATAAATATTTATCTGTTGTATTTAACTTTTAAATGCATTTCATGCTTAGTTGATGATTTTCATTGTTGGGTTCGGTTTTAGGTATGACTTTTTGCCGTTTCTTTTTCGCTCTATTGTAATTGTAGTCAAGCACAAACATCCATGTGTGTGTGTGTGTGTGTGTGTGTGTGTGTGTTTATAATGGAACCAATAAACGATACTAATATTCGATAGTTAATAAATGTTTAGGTAAATGGTATAGAAAGCACTTATGCGTGCAAACTCTGTGAATGAATGTGACCCGAGTCTCTGAGCTCCGATTTGTACAACTTCCGTTCCGTTCACGTTCAATGTTTCACGTCCATGTCCGGGTCCGAGCTACATCAGTATCTGACACGTGCCACATTTTAATATTGCTTTTGTGAATGACACACACTCACACCCGCAGGAGCCCTTTGGGTGGGGACTGCTGCTGCGATGCGGCGGTTAATAGTAAGTATTTTTGTATACTTATGGCCCTTATGCGCTTATCTCTTGAGTAATCCACGTTGCTTACACTGCCGAGTATTGAGTAGTTAGTATTAGGAGGCTAGTCGAGGGGTAACCCCGAAGCTGCACCAAGTCTGGAACGTTGATCTGTGCCCTGAGCCTAGAGCCTCTGTGTTTGGCGTTAGGGGATTTCGATTCCTGGTCATCTCATGATATCTATTTATTTCGGTTTCGTTATCGGTTTCATTACCCGTTTCTCGTTTGTCATTGAAGCAGTTCGGTTTTTGTGTGTTTCCTCCTTTCTCTAAAGGTATTTTTTTAATGTATTTCACATTGTCTTTTGCGCGTATTTCTCTGACATGTATTCCGTACTATTTTGCAAATCTTTGTTAGTCCTTCTCGCCAAACTGCCGCACTGTGTATATGTATATACACACACATCTATATATCAATATATATATATATATATTTCAATAAATTTTACTATAAATCTTTGTTTAAAAAATGTTACATCGTTTATATTTAAAAATTTGGTGTTTTCAATTTGCGCTCGCAGCTCCCGCCACATTTTGCTCTGCTGGAGCGGTTATTGGTTATCTCTTTTTCCCCTCAACTTCTTAAATACTCTAAGTATTATTTTATGACTTATTATTTTGTAGGTGTTTAAGTATGCTTATCCTTAGGGGCGCCTTGCCATGTAGATGTGGCCTTGCCTTCTGGGCACCAGATACGAGTACACCCAAAAAGTGTGTTTTTTTTTTTGTAATCTTTTTGCGTTTTCGATTTCGATTTCGATTTGTTGATTTGGTGTTTTGTGTTCTGTTTGTTTCTGTTGCTCTACTTATGCTACTGACACACACATTGATTGTAAGTAGACACTACTGAATGATCATTAGGGCTGAGAGGGGAATAAAACTAGGACATAGAAATGGAAAATCGAATTACGCAAGGGCAACTGGGTGGCTCTCTTTGTTCAAATATACAATGAATATAAATACAATATATTGCACTTATGTATGTACTTATCTATGATGTACATGTACTGTATATGATTGTATGTATGTATGCATGTGTGTGTGTGTGTGTGTGTGGGATGGATGTATAAAAAGCAGTTAAAACTTAATCATACTTTTATAGATCGTTGAAACTTAGTTCGAGTATTTCGAGTATCATTTGTATAAATGCGAGTGCTGTTGTTGCTGTTGTTTCTTGTTGTTTGTTTCTATGGTTGTATGTGGATGTGTTACCGCATTTCGCTTGGCCTTCGTTGGCCAAAACCTCTCAGAGTGTTACGCCACTCCGATCACAAGTCACCTGCGGCGTTGCCAATTTTGTGTGATTTTGTGGTTTTTGGTTTTTGGATGGAAAAAAAGAAAACAAATGGTTGTGTTTTTGGTTTTTTGTGGTTTTTTTTTCGCTTTTTTCATTTTTTTGCATAGTTTTTGGAATAAGTCACACATTTATTCAATAATAAATATATATTTTTAGTGGTAGTTCGCCTTGCATTTTTGCATTTTATTTGTTGTATTTGGTTTTGTGTTAGTTATGTTTCGTTTTTTTTGTTCTTGTTGTTGGTTTTGTTTGTTTTAGTTTCGTTTTTGTTTTTGTTTTTGTTTTTCGTTTTTGGTTTCGCTTTGGTGGCATTCAATAAGTTATAATAATTATAAAAATGGAATAATAAGTAGGCATAATAATATATAATAATGAATACAATATAATAGGTTTTCTTGGTTTCGTTTACTTTGATTTGCACTTGACGAATACGAATATTGAATATACTTTGCTTGCTCCTCCGCTTAGACGACGAAAAAAGGGTCTTTAAATCTGGCTAGATATATGTATGTATCTATGTATGTATCTTCTATATAATAATGTGTGTGTGTGTGTGTTTGTGTTATTGGATGTGTTCTTGTTACGTTTGGAGACTTTCTCTCGCGCGGCCTTCGTGTTGGTTTCGCTTCATGTTCGTTTCGTGTTCGTGATTCGAGTGTCCAAAATCAATGCGAAATAATTCGAATAAGTTTGTGAATACATCATATCGTGTGGTGGAACTAGAATTAATCGTAAGATAAACCTGGCAAAACGAACGCAAAATACAATACAATACAATATAATATATCTATGCATATCCATTATAATAAGTATAATAAGTAATTAGGTAAGCTGAGAGAAATATGAGAGTGAGAGTGTGTGTGAGTTATTTGGATTTTAGTTTATGTTTTTGTTTTTGTTTTTGTTTTCGTTTTTTTTTTGTTAGTTCGCTTAAATCAGTAGACATTAAGTAAATCATTTGGTTAGCTCGTTAAATATACGGTTTAATTGAATATAATCAAATTGAATTACATATCGATAAGGTAAAAAAAAGAATAGTTTCTATATATTGCGACTTGGATCATCATTTTCTCGATTCATATATTTTTTTTTCGTTTTTTTTTTTTGCTTTCTTTTATTTTTTTGTAGTTTTTTTGTGGTTTTATTTTGTTTTGTTTTCTTTATTTGCTCAATGCAATGTTGCCAATCTCCATTGCCTCCCATATTCATTTTGTCAATTTATAGACATTTGTTGTTGTCTTGTTTTTCTTTTCCTAAAGGTTCTGTCACGCTCTCTTCGTTAGTTGCTGCTCGGTTTCGGCTTGCCTCATTTAAGCTTTGTTTTTTTGTGTTCTTTGTGTTGTTGAGTTTTATGCTTTGGTTAATCGAATTAAATTATATACGTAGTTTCGAGTATTTCGAGTGCATGTACTTTAATCGGTATCCACTCGACACGCACACGCACACGCACTCACAAAATCAAATAAATTTGCACTAAGTTTTTCATTAGAATTACAATCATAATAATTTCGTTTAGCATACAAAATCAAATCATAGATGAATCTCCTCCTCTTCCTCACACTCCCTTCAATCATGATCATGATTTTGATTTATGGTTTAGCTCTGTCCTTTGTCTTTATCTTTTATCTTTATCATTATCTTAGTAAATGTGTGAATTTTGACTACAACTTGTCGACGCGTCGCGACGTTGGCAAATCAAACACTTTCAATCTTACGGAAAGTCTCGGGTCTCGGGTCTCGGGTCTCCGGGTAGTGTCAAATCATAGAGTATTGATGGTGAGAGAGAGGGCTATGCTTAGGCCTAGACACTAGTTCAGTTTCGCTTAAGTTGTTTTAGTTTTGTTAGTCTTAAAGCTGACCTGGAGCACACGGTTGCCCAGGGTGTAGCCATTGAGTGACTGGATGGCCACCACAGCCTCGTCGTAGTTGGTCATTGTGACGAAGCCGAATCCCTTGCACTTGCTGGTCTGCAGGTCCCGGATCACCTTCACCGACTGCACGGCCCCGAATGGCCCAAACAGCTGCCACAGCACATTCTCCTCGGTCTCCGGTGCCAAATTGTAGACGAATATGCACCATCCGGATCCGGTCATTGCGTTGCCGGGCAATATCGAGTTGGCCAACAGATCACCGGCCAATGGCGAGTACCTAAAGTTTCATCGCAACGATTTTGATGGGGAAACAATAGATGAAAGTTCGATTAGTAATCTGAATTTGTGGCTATGTGTACAAAAATATTAGCTTAAGTCGGGGGAACCCTCCACGAATAAAACTAGAATATGCGCTAGGCTCAGTTAGGATTTGATTCTTTAAATTAGATATGTACATGCCTCGAGAGCACATGCCACTGGGCCGCAGGTTACGCATAATTCTTAATGTCTAAACCAGAGGCCAGCAGCAGAGGTAGATCCCAGCGCGCGCAGTCGGCACACGCAGAGCTTAAAAGCTTCGGCGGGCTATGCAGAGGGAACCGCAGCAGCGGCAGAGAAACAGCTTCACATGGCCCCATGCACAATTTCTCGGCTGCGCGCAGCGGCAGAGAAGCAAGAAACTTTTTCGACTTCGAGCTTGTTTTCTGTCCCTGATTCAAAGCTAAGCAGCCGCCGGACCACGCAACCAGAAGGAAAAGCTGCCTAAAAAAAGCTCTCTCTCTCCTCGCATACTGTTCCACTTTGGAACTATCTGAGCGGTAAATGCATGGTAAAGATCCGTTAGTCACGTGCGGAACAGAAGCAAGAAATGCATTTGGCTTTGAGTGAGTCGTCCAATTATCTGCACAATTGAGTTCTCTGCAACACCAGGATTCTGGGGTTATGTGTGGAGTAGGGCCCTATAGGACCTACCACAGTGCGTTTTAAATTGAAATAATAAGGATAAAGCGCACTGCAGTAGTTCTTTGAAAGCTATAAACATACGCACAAGGAATATTCTGGCATGCAAACGAAAGCAAAGCGAAACGGGAAAGCATAAAGAAAACATCTAAACACAGATAACACATACACACAAACGAACGCATTGATGCTAACACACTTATAGAACACAAAAACAAAGTATCTTCTTCGGTTACACCCATTAGTTAAGCTAACAAAATCCCAATAAGAATGCACCATGGAGATATTTACATATTCATGTATGTATGCGTGCGTGATAGTGTGAAATGAAGAAGATCATACATAAATAATTCACCTTCTTAGGCCCCTGTTAACCGCTAACATGGGACACTTTCCAATGCTAAAAATGATGACAAAAAATGTGTTGTCCCAATTAGACAAAGAAAGAAAGGAGGAAAGAAAGAAAGAAACGTTGAACCGAAATGACACATAAGGTAGGTAATAAAACATAATAATAGAATATATAATATAAACAAAGTCTTTTGTTACTTTTGTTTCAACTCAACTCGAAAACTCAACATAGAAAAGAAGAATTAATTTAAGTGGCAATCGTTTTTGGGTTTTGAAATGAAAATTGTTAAAGCCCGCAGCCAATCAGACACTGCCTGTAGCACACCCTATTATCCTGTTGGCCTATTCTAAGTGCAGGCTCAGCTATACATTTGAGTGGTATGGGGTATGGGGTATAGAGTACAGGGACTGGGTACACACCTGATGCGACCAGCGTTCGGTAGGGCGCCGGCCAGGCGTCGTGTGGCCGCTGCCGCCTGTGGCGTCAAGTAGGCGGTCAGGGGCGGTGCAATCTGTGCCTTGGCGCTGTTGCTCGGATTGTTGGCAAACTTGACGGTAATCGGCTCGGCATAGCCCTTGGGTGTCTTGCCATTCAGCTCTTGTATGGCCCGTTCGGCTTCGTTGCGTTGATCGAAGCGTATAAAACCGACGCCCTTCGATAGACCTTCGATAATAAACAATCCAGTTAATAATTGCCACGAACTACGCCCAAGTACTTAGTCTTACCGGAAATATTATCACAGAGTATACGAGATGTAATTATCTTGCCGAACGATGCGAACATCCCCTCCAAGTCTGGTTGTGATAGATTCTTCGGAAGACCCGATACATATAAATTAGCACCCTTGATTGATTCTGAACTTGGACGGGCGTATGATACTTTAATAACTTTGTTCTGCAAACGCAAACCGTTCAGGGTGTTCACAGCCTTCTCAGCATCCTCGGCACGCACATAGTTGACAAAGCCATAGCCCAGGCTTTGACCTACAACAACGAATCAATGCACAAACATTTGTTTCATTTCAGTTACTTCATGTACTTATGTACTCGTTCAGATTCCTTACCTTGCTGGAGGGCCGGATTGAGCGCTGTCAGCGATGCTGGCAAGACTGTAGGTGCGAAAGGGTGAAACGAAATGGAAAGAATTTAGCAAATAAACTCAAAGAAATCTACAAGAAAGGAATGCGTAATTCAGGGATCTACAGGAGTGGCAGATAGACTCAATGAGAGAACGAATAATTGAATATTAATTTGTATTGTAGAATAATTGGTTGAATATTTACCCAAATTACCTGAGACTTTATCACGCACCAGTTTGCAACTCTCGAGCTCACCGATGCTCGAGAAGAGTGATCGCATCTCCTCTTGCGTCATTGTCTGTGGCAGATAGTTGACGATCAAATTGGTGCGCGACTCATCATTGCTGCCATCCACGGACCCGTTGGCGCTGCCGTTCTTCACGATATCCATGGCGTTGGTCATTTTGCTTTGCTTTTGCTTTCGGTTTTCTTTTTCGTTTTGTTTTGTTTTGTTTATTTTGGTTGATTTGTTGCTTGTTAAATGGTTGCTGTCGTTCGCTTAGTATTTAATCTCACTGCTTGGTTGTTGTTAACGCTTACGAATTATGTTCTTACTTCTTTGCTTTATTACTATTTATATTTTTATGTTTTGTTTTGTTTTGTTTTGTTTTTTGTTTAAGTTTAGTGTCGACTGCGCTTTGCACAAGTCCCGTGAAGTTGTTTAGCCGCAGAAGTGGTTTGTTTTTAGTTCGGTTGTGTGGGTTTTTAGATCAACAACGATCGCGAAAAAAAAAACACGTCCTCCCCTTGTTTAGTGTTTGTTTTTTGGTTAAGTTCTACAGCGTTCTGTGTCCTTTAAAACCTTTAAAATTGCATTTATTTCTTGAGTTAAAGAATCGTTTCGTATATTTTTGTTTGTTTATGTTTTTAGTTTTAAGTTAAAAGAGTAAATTTTGCTAAATGTTTCGCTTTCGCCGAGTGTTTGTTTTTTTGGCTTTCTTTTCGGTTTTGGATTTTCTGTTTACTTTTGTATAAAATTGCAAAAATGCAAAAAGATAGCAATTATTATATTATTTATTATAATTTTTATACGTTTTTACTAAATTTGCGCTGCTTGGTTGTTGTTGCTGGAACTTAGCTTTCGTTCTCAAATATACAGATACATATATCGTATTTGGTTAGTTGTATTTGTTTTGTCTGCTATCCTCCTTGCATATGATTATTCGTTTTTGCTTTTGTTAAATTAGTAGTAGTTGGTTTTATTTGGTGGTGTTTGGTTTTAGCTTTCCCCTCTGTTATTCCGGTTCCAATCTGTTGGCTGTTCTTTTCAGATTATTTCTGCTTGCTGCAGTTTTAAAAATCTCTTACTTCCGAGTATCGTCCTTCCTTGTTCTTCTTGCCCCCTGATAAATGATGGCTGTTCGATTGCTCTCTTGCTTTTACTCAATCTGCAAAAGTACAATTAAAGGTAGATATTTTTTAAGTACCATTTAGATACATCCGTTTCAAAGTGCAGTCCGGAAGAGTCTTAAAAAAATACTCGAAAATAAAGAACTTTGCTCTCCATGGACTCAAATCAGCGGGCAAGTGATAAACGAATTTTAAGCGAGTTTCACACACCCAGAGAGAGAGAGAGAGAGAGTGAGAGAGAGAGAGCGAGCGAGCGATTGACACTTACTGGCACTGTCAAAGACAGGAGGACGACAGTGAGTGCGCGCTGTCACCACCACCACTGGCAATGCCATTGACATTACCTAGGAGTATCCTATACCCACATCCCCCAGCCACCCTCTTCTTGCATAATGGCAGGACGACAAGGGTAAGTCAAAGCTGAAATCTGTTTATCAAACAACAATGGTACATAAATGGGGTATGGGTTATGTGATTCGGGAGTTTGTTTGTGTCGCTTTATCTTTTTCCTTTTTTTTTTTTGTCAGCACAAAATGCGCTCGCCTAATGGTTCGGAATTTAATTAAATCGCTTCTGCGACGTGTGGGAGAGTTCTTTGTGTGTTGCCATAAAGGTGGACACACACACAAGAAATATTGATGTAAGTATGTGCATGTAGCGACTATAGGGCGGGGCGGATATGATATCTAAAGATGCCGTCGGATTTATTGCTGCCAAGAATACATTTTGTGGAACAGCTTGAAGAAATGTTTGTATTGCTTGTGGGAATTGTTCTCCATCCCCCTGGACTAAGCTGTGGCTAAAATAGCTTCAACGATTGTAAGTCTTGGTTCGGTTTTTTTTTTATAAGGAAAACCCATGACGATTCAATGCAAATATTTCCCATCCATGCAGCGAGTGCGTTGTCATAGTCGTCTAGGACTACTTTTCCACCCATTCAGTGTCTATAATGTTTCCAACTGGAATGGTTTTTGGGGGTTGAAAACCCGAGAAAGAGAGCGAGAGAGAGAGTGGGCCCCGGGGCTTCCTAGTTCCTGCTAGATCCTGGCTGTCTGGCTAAGCGCGCGCGTGTTTCTGCACTGGAAAATAGGGTAAAAACCTGACGTGAAAAACAAACAACAAACGAGCGGGCCAGTCCTGTCCCAGTCCCAGTCACAGTCACAGGCACAGTCCACGGCCATGTCCTGCCCTGTCTTTGAGGTCGTTGAACTCTGACTGCATTTGTGCCTGTGCCTGTGCCTGTGCCTGTGGCTTTGGGTTTGCTAGTTTTTTCCCATGTATGCATGTATGCATGTGTCTATGTTTGTGTGTGTCTTTTCCACTTTCCCACTCTTTAGTGTTTGCTCATTTTTTGTGTTGTTTTTTTTTTTGTTTTTGGATAGCCAGAGGCTTGGGCTGCGGTTACTAAACTGCCACCAACAGCTGTTCAAAAGCCAGGACCCGCGCGCACGTTCATTGAACCCCTGCGAAAACAGGGCAGCGCGACTCGAAAGGCTTTGAAATGTCAAACAAACCTCAAAAGGCAGCATGCAAAAAGGTGAAGATGCAGGCAGGCGGTGCGAGAGCTGGCAGCCAAACGGAAGGATGAACGGGTAAATATTTGCCACAAAAGGCGCCGCAACACAAAAGGAAGTGCAGTGCAAAAAAACAAGCAACAAACAGCAAAAAATGAAGGGGAATCACACCCACAAAGACAGACCCAGAGAGAGAGAGAGAGAGGCAGAGAGCAGGAAAAGAGGAAGGGAAACACGGTTTAATTGCACAGCATGGCGTGATGCAGCATAATACAGACAGGGCCTGGCTCCCTCCAGGACCCCCTTGTGCTTGTGTGTGTCTGGCTGGCTGTGTGTGTAGGGAAGAACCCAAGAGCGAGAAATGTGTAATTGACACTTTTACGCCGATATCTGTGACCTCATTCGGGAATGTGTGTCGCTTGTGCTGGAGAGCCTTAGGGGCGGCCCTTGAGGTGGGTCAGGGCATGTCCTGAGGGTCACCAGCAGGGCGGGAACAGTAGGGAACAGAGCTGGAGAGGGTTTGAGCTTGAATGCCTTTTCCCCACTCAAATACAATTTAAATGTGCATTGTGCATTATTTTATGGATATTTTTAGTCATTTTTATTGATAGTTCCATGCCCATAACTCAACGTTCATCAATCGTATAGAGCCTAGCCATCAGATAGAAAGCTCCCTGGGCTGGGCAGTGTTCGACTTGTTTCTATAAGTATTCCCCATGAAGCAGTATTGCAACAGTAGAAAACCAAACAAAAAACAAATAAATAAATGTCATGGAAATTTTCAACTGCTTTATCGATTGCTAGAGGGGCAACCACAACTGCTGCTCCCACTCTGGGCATAGCTGTGCCTACAGCCCATAACCATGGGGACATACACATGTATGTATGCAGATATATATGTACATATAGCATGACTTTTGGATGTGAAGGATGTTGATTAGATCATTCGGCTATAACTCGTACTTACGTGCTGGTGCGAGGTGCCGGTTGGGAGGAAATACTGTCATACAGCTGCTCGATGGCGGGGAGGAAGGACTCTGGACTATAATTTCTATTGATTGCACAGAGAAACAAGAAACTTTCTCAAAGTCTCGCGTCGACTCGTTGGCTCTCTCTCTCTCTCTCTCGTTCTCTTCCAAGTCTAGCACTCTCTCTCTCTCTCTCTCGCTCTGCCTCTGTCAGTGTAACTGCGCCTGTCTGTCTCCCTTGCACGCTCCTTTGTCCAATGCTTCAAAGATTTATTGTATCTCGATTGTTTCTTACTATTTAATTAGCGTAATTTCACGAGACCGCACTTTCAGCTCACACACTCGAACAAAAAATGACGAAAAAAAAGGTTGGCTTACACGAGTATCCTTCAAACTAATGGATTGACTAGGGGCTATCAAAGTATCTTTGGTTCCAAAGTATTGCACGACGATTGCAGAATAGAATCAAACAAAAAACTAGACTTCCGAGTGGATGGGGGGGGAGGAGAAAGGAGATTGCACACAGATATTGCTGTTGGGATTTGGTTTCTTGGTTGCTAGTTTGCTAGTTTTTGGTTGGTTGCTTTTGCAGTTGCAGTTTTAGTTGGATGAAAAACCGAGAACACAACTAATTCGTAACTGAATGTACATAAGTGTATGTATAGAATGTATATACATATACAACAACACAAAAACCGGTGCAAGAGGAGTCAAAAAATTATAAATGAATGCTCTCGAACGAGAAACACAACCGAATGGAATCAAAACCGAACGAAAGCAACGAACGAACACGTACGACTGAACCGACTGAAAGGCAGACCCACAGCCAGGACTCGAAGGACGGCCTGCCGGCCAGGCCAGGCCATCAGGAGCAGACCCGGAGAGCAGGCGCCTTCTCTCTTCATCCTTTCATCGTGGCGCCCCACAGCTCAGCACTGGCGCAATAGAGACAGAACGAAACAGACAGAAAGAGAGAGGCAGAGGGAGCAGCCACCACCACCACCACCTCTTTTTCGCTCTCTCTCTCTCTCTCTCTCTCTCTCTCTGTCTATATCTATGCAGAACTCTGCCGGCCGGCAGTACACACCCTTTTTGGATCGAGAGAGAGTCTGTCTTTCTGTGTGAGAGAGAGAGAGAGCAAAAGGAGAGTGGGAGCTAGAGAAAGATGCGGACAAGTAGGTGGAGGGCTGCGAGAGCTTGACTCTTTGCGAATGATGCAAATGTGACACTCCAGGGAGCAGGAGCCCTCTCTCTCTCTCTCTCTCTCTCTTTAGCCACTGAAAGCAGATCCTTAAGCTGCATGTTCCCCGGAACATATGTTGCTCCCGCTCAAGTATTTTTCTTTTTGGCATCAATCTCCGCCATTAATGGATGTTTGGGGGGAAAACTTTAAGGAAGAAAAAAATGAAGTTTTTACTGGGCTTTCCATTTTCTCTGGCATAGAGATATGTGAGAGAGAGACGCGAATGAGAGTTGCCGGCAGCCGGTTGTCACGGGCTTGGGTGGAGGCAGAGAAAAAGGGAGAGAGAGAGCGCATCAGCAGGGAAGCTGCGAGAGCAGGCATTGCGAGAGGAGCACCTTGCAGGAAAGGAATATTAATCAAGAATGCACACACACACACACACACACACTTTTGAGCTCTCTCTCTCTCTCTCTCTCTCTCTCTCTCTGTCACTTACTGGCAGTTTCCGTGTTATAAATGATGAAAGTTCTACGCTTCGCTTGACAACACCATGGGTGTGAGTGGGGAGGGTGGGAAGAGGCAGGGGATAGCACTCCCCTGCTGCTGCTTGTGGATGCTGGGGGGATGGCTGAGCGTCATGTGCATGCCCCTCGAGTGGCAACCGCTTGCTGCCTTTCGTTTTCCTCCTTTTCTTTGGGTTTCTTTGCGCTTACATTCTTTGCTACTCGTTTATTTTTTATACCATGCCATACGATGGGCTCTCTTGAAGATAATTCCGTTTATCCTTTGACCCAATTCGTTTAATTTGATGCTGTTGTGGCTGCTAATGCCTGTTTCTGTTTCTGTTTCTTTTTCTTTTTCTTTTGAGTGCTGCCCCGCCTGCCGTGTCGTGCCGCGCCGCAGCTAAACGGTTGCTGACTGGGGAAAAGCGCTCAAGTGGGTTGGGTGGCATTTAGGGCGTGGCTCTGTGGATTGCCACATGAAACTTTTCCAGCGATCTAACGAAATGAACCCTCAGGCGATCTACAACCCCTTACCATATTATTTTTATTGTACAAATATGGCCATATGTCCTCCAGGTTTTTGGACAACAATTTTCAATTTCTCTACATGTAGCTCCCCCACCCCACTTTCTGCGCTCGGACATGTGTCAAAATGTTTTAAAACCTTGCGACATGCGCCCGCAGCCAAAACCCAAACCCAAAACCAAACCCAAACCCAAACCAGACGAACCCGTTTTCCCAGCAAAGAGAAAGCTAACCCTTTTCCCGTTGCAAAAAACAGAAGCGCAAACAGAAACAAAAACAAAAACACAAACACAGGCAGAACCAATCAATTTGCATTTCTCTTTTCAGTCGTTTTCTAACCACCAT